CAGGTGGGTTGTGTTCAAAGTAAAATTTTGGTTCTAGTGGACTTATTTTTATTTTATTTTATTTTTTTTAACCTTCAGTCTGACTTTGCAAATGAGCAACTGATGATCTGTTCCACAGTCTGTCTCTGTCCTGTTTTGGCTGATTATGTATAGCTTTTCCACTTTCTTCACACAGATGTAGTCAGTTTGTTTTTTTGTGTATTCTACCTGGTGAGGATCTTGTGTATAGTTGCCCTTTGTGTTATTTTCAATGAACAAATCATTCATCTTGCAAAATTCTATCATACAATCTTAAGCATTGTTTCCATCACTAAAGCCATATTATCAATTAGTGATCCTTTCTCTCTGTTTCCAACCTTTGCATTCCATTCACCAGTAATTATCAATACATAATGCATGTTTGAACAATTTCAGACTGAAGAAGTTGGTAGAATGTTCCAACATCATCATCACTGACTTTATTGATTCATATGTAAATATTAATAATAATGGTATTAATTGATCTTTCTTCTAGATATATAGATGTTATGCTATTCCAGAGAGCAATAAACTTCAAGAAAGATCTTGAAGTGTTCTTTTTGATGGTGAACACAATACCATTTCTCTTCAATTTGTCATTCCTGGCATAGTAAACCATATGCTTGTCAAATTCAAAATGGCCAATATCAGTCCATTTCACCTCACTAATTCTTTACGAGTTCTATTTCATTTTTTGATGACTTTCAATTTTCCTAGATTCATAATTCATGTATTCCATGTTCTGATTATTAATGGATGTTACAGCTACCTCTCCAAATTTTTATTTATGCCCCATCTGCACAAATAAAGGTCCTAAAACCTTTTCTTCATTTCTGTCATCATGGTAAACTCTACTTTAATGAGTCAGCTATTCCCTAGTCATATTTTGAATGCTTTCCAACAAGTGGGGCTCATATTCAGGCACTATACATGACAATATTCTAGTTCTATTAATATTATTTCAATATTCAGTGCTCTGGTGCTGACAGTCTTCCATCGTTATTCATAGGTTTTCAGTGGTTTAGCATTCAGAAGCAGTTGACATATCCTTCTTTCTAGTCTGTCTTAGCTTAGAAAGTCATCTGAAACCTGTACATCATGGGTGTACCTATTGGTATTTTAGAATAGTGGTGGCATAGCTTCCAACATCACATATACAAATGTTGTTGTTAGGTTCCATTGAGTTGGTACCAACTCACAGCAACTCTATGCACAACAGAACAAAACACTGTCCGGTTCAGGGCCAACCTCACAATTGTTGCCATGCTTGAGCCCATTGATGCTGCCATGTTGCCAATCCATCTCAATGGAGGCCTTCCTCTTTTTCTCTGACCCTCCACCATATCAAACATGATATCCTTCTCTAGCAACTGGTCCCTCCTGACAATTTGTCTGAAGTATGAGAGATGAAGTTTGTCTATCCTGGCCTCCAAGGAGCACTCTGGCTGCACTTCTTCCAACACAGATCTGTTACTTCTCTTGGCAGCCCATGGCACTTTCAATATTCTCCTCCAACAACATAAATCAAATGCATCAGTTCTTCTATTGACTTCCTTATTCACTGTCCAACTTTCATATGCATATGAGGTTATTGAAAATACCATGGCTTGGGTCAGCCGTACCTTAGTCCTCGAGCTGACATCTTTGCTCTTCCAACACTTTAAAAAGGTCTTTGGGAGAAGATTTGCCTAATGCAATACGTCATTTGATTTCTTGACTGCTGCTTCCATGAGTGTTGATAGCTGATCCAAGAATGAAGTCATTGACAACTTCAGTCTTTTCTCCATTGATAAGAATGTTGTTTATTGGTCCAATGGTGAGGATTTTTGTTTTCTTTGCATTGAGATGCAATCCATACTGAAGGCTGTGCTCTTTGATCTTCTTCAGTAAGTATTTTAAGTCCTCTTCACTTTCAGCAAGCAAGGTTGTATCATCTGTATATCACAGATTGTTAATGAGTCTTCCTCCAATCCTGATGCCACATTTTTCTTCATAGAACCCAGCTTCTCAGATTATTTGCTCAGCATACAGGTTGAATAAGTATGGTGAAAGAATACACCCCTGTTGCACACCTTTCTTAATTTTAAAGCATTCAGTGCTTCCATGTTTTGCTTGAACAACTGCCTCTTGGTCCATGTACAGGTTCCTCATGAGCACAATTAACTGTTCTGGAATACTCATACTACACAATATTGTCCATAGCGTGTCATGATCCACACAATTGAACACCTTTGCATAGTTAAGAAAGCACAGGTAAACATCTTTCTGGTTTTCTCTGCTTTCAGCCAAGATCCATCTGATATCAGCAATGATATTCCTTGTTCTATGTCCTCTAAATCAGGCTTAAACCTCTGGAGATTCTCTTTCAATGTATGGTTGCAGCTGTTTCTGTATTACCTTTAGTAAAACTTTGCTCGCATGGCATATCAAAAATAGGGTCTGATGATTTCCGCATTCCATTGGGTCACCACTCTTTGGAATAGGCATAAATGACGATCGGTTCCAATCAGTTGGTCAGATAGTTGTCTTTCAAATTTCTTTGTATATTTTTATGTTAACCAGTTTATATATATAAAATCACTGGACTGGTTAACTATAACAAAGTCTTTATTTTGTTGACAATTTTATTGATTCAAATAAAATTGATCCTTTTGACCAAAGTTATATAGAATGGGATGTGAACATTTGAAAAAGAGGTAAAAAATGACTTGGAATCATGTTTGAGAAATGTATTCAAATAGTTCTCCAACTCCCTTTTATCTCTAGTGAATATAATCATTTTGTTAAAATTTACTGGACGTATTTTTCATTTGTAAATTTTTAGTTATCATCTATTACTCTTTCACATATCTTTGTCAGATCATTTTACCTCTCAATTTATATGAGTTTTTATTGCAAAAGGTTAGTTAAGTCTTTGTTATAATTTAAAAAAAATATTTTTGCTATGCTTTTTAATTGTATAAATTGATTTTTGGCTATGAAATGTAACTAAGGTGGTAGATTGTTTCTGATGTTAAGTGCCATCAAGTCACTTCTAACTCAAACACTCTGTATAGCATTTTCAAGGAGCAGCTGATGAGTTCAAATCACTGACTTTTGGTTAGCATTCAATACTTATCCTACAGCACCACACCAGGACTCTTAGATTGCCCTTAGTTATCCAATTATTTATCTGATAATTTATTTTCACACTCCTTGAATACCTTGTACTTCTTGCCTATACCTAAAATGCTGATATTTTTCAGGAACTTTTCTGCTTTTCTCACGGTGATACAGACTATAGTTAGCTTCAAACTGAGACCAAGTACTGATAACACTCACATTTATGTTATCATCTCAAACATGTCCTATCCTCTATTCAGATTTGTCAAAATTGCTATCTAGATTTTCCTCAATCACCTTAAATAAAAGAAGTCCCCTTTATACCTGTCTACATCCTTTAACCCCTTATTTTTGCTTACATGAAGTTAACAATAATCTCCCAGTATATTACACTTGAACTTATTTTATTTAAAATACTTTCTTTCTTCTAACTTATACCTCTATTTTATAAATGTCTCAAATCTGTCATTTCCTTTTATTTCCATCTTATACTTCTTTGTTCCCTTTCTTTTATAATGGAGAAACTAGTTTGTTTCAAATCCTTAAAAAATATCTTTGCACATTCTCTTACCTAATCATTGTATTATTTTTTCACTTATATTAATTCTAATATATTTGTATAAAAATATAATTAAGCTTAATTATTTAAATTAATATGAATAATAAAGTTCTGGAAAATATGTTACTACTATTGGGTTTTGGTAATACTAAAATATTTTAACTTTAATAATTGAATAAATTATGTATGATTATGTTTATTAATATGAGCAAGTATATGCTGGAATTATCTATCTTTATGGCAGCATTCATCTTAGAATTTTCTTGATAAAACTAGCTTAGAATTAGGCTATTATTTTATAGGTGTGTTGTTATATTTAAAGTCAATGATGTTTGTGATGTCTATGCTATTCAATAATCATTCTAAATTCCTGACAGATCAGTAGATGATAATAAACAGCCAGACCTTGACGTTATTAAATGTTACATGAGACAGTTATGCTAATTTAGCCTTTGACTTATCCATTATTTACTATCTAAAAGACTCTTTCGAAATAAAATTGCATTTCTATTACTTTAAAAAAAATGTGGGTCGGCACATATTTCTTTCATTAAGAAGATATTAACTTTCCAAAGATATCATGAGAAAACTTAATCTTTATTTGATTCCAGATTGTCAGTATAAATAAAACAGTCAACTGTGCATTTTTGTGTTAATTAATTTTAAAAATTACTCTTCATTAAAATTCTAAATAAGAGTGATTGTCTTTTATGTCATTTTTAAATCTGCAGAAAACATATTTTTTAATATTCTTTGTGTATGTATGTGTATATATAAATATATGTGTGAGCCATGATGTGGTGCTGTACATTAAGCACTGGATTGCTAACTGCAAGGTTGGTGGTTCAAACCCATCAGCAACTCCTTTGAAACCCTGTACAGAGTATGTATGCCTGTATGTATGTTGTTAGGGAACATTGTGTTGGTTCCAATTCATAGTTATCCTGTAAATTTTTATGTGTGTAGAAAACTTCATCTTTATCCCTTTATCTTGCAGAGCAGCTGGCAGGCTTGAACCTTGTGATTGATTAGCAATCCAGTGCTTATCCTATAGTGCCACTAGTGAACTCTCTCTCTCTATATATATATATATGTATATACATATATTAATATATACACATATACATACACATATACATATATATCAATAATTGTTGCTTTATTTTACAGTGAATAGAAATGACTCAGGATTTGAAATAAAGCAAATGTAGTTGCTATATGTGAGAGTTAGACTAGAAAGAATGAAAATTGTACTATTGAAAATTTTTTCAAATTATTCCATATTAAATTGGTGTGGTTGTGTTTGTTTTGCTTCATACAGGTGATTAAAGCAGTAGAAGAAGGCTACCGTCTACCAAGTCCTATGGACTGTCCTGCAGCTCTCTACCAATTAATGCTAGATTGCTGGCAGAAAGATCGAAATAGCAGGCCTAAGTTTGAGGAAATAGTCAACATGTTGGACAAGCTGATACGTAACCCAAGTAGCTTGAAGACACTAGTTAATGCATCAAGCAGGTAAAAGACCAGCGTGAGTGATTATCCTGAATGTAGTTAATTAAGATGGATGCGACAATATTTTTCAATTATATGATTATTGTTTTAATAAGTATCTATATGTTAATCTAAATGATATTAATTTATTTAAATATATTTTTGAATTAACAATTCTTTTATTGACTCTGGTTCTTAAAAAGTTGTATACAGATAATTAGGTAATCATTTTTGATTCGTCAAAAGTTAATACTGATAAATGAGTTAGCTTGTGGACAAAATATGTGTGAGCAAATGATCATATTTTTAGTTTTCTGAAAGAGACATGAATTGTTTAAATAATTTTGTATGTTTTTCATATTTGTAAAGTGTGGTTTTGCATTTAATTTTAAAAATTATGGAATTATTAACTCAAAAAATGAGTCAGTTTTATTTAATACTTGAAAAGTTGCTATATTTGACACATTATCTATTTTTATAATGTGTTGCTGTTGAGTGCCGTTGAGTTGGTTCTGACTCATAACAACCCTGTATAGAGTTGCCAAGGAGCAGTTAGTTGGTTTAAACCACCAAACTTGAGGTTACCAGTCCAGTGATTATCCTACAGCACCTTTTTTGTTGTTGTTGTTTTTGCTTTGTTTGTTTTTTAATAAATTGTTCCAACTCATAGAAACCCTCTATAGTGTTTCTAAGAAACAGCTCATTGGTTTGAACTGCTGACCTTGAGGTTTGAAGTCCAGTGCCCCAAAGTGTCATGAAAATAATGAAACTGACTACCGATTAGCATGAAAATGAATGAGAAGTATTTCATTGATAAAAATTATGTCAGTTCTATGATTCTAACATAACATTTGTTTATAGACAAAATCTCATTTAAATACAAATGAGGAATGAATGTTCAAACTCTGTTTAGGCATCATTAAGTTTCTTTAGTACACTAGAAAGTGTAGTTTATTAGCAATTATTCCTTCTGTTGTTTTCTAAATATCTGAATTTAAGTTATTTATTGTTATGTAATGTATGACATTAAACAACTTAAAATCAGTTTTTCCCCCTCATCTACTTGTTCAATTATGCTATATAACTTGAGTAAAATAAATTCTGACAAATGGATTTGAGAAAAGGTCATAAAAGCAAAAAGTTAATTTTCTGTTTTTTTTGTTTTTTTTTTTAATGTATGTATCTGCATTATCTCTATAGTTTGAAAGCAGACTTAAATTTTCAAAGAAATCTTATGTTTTCTTATAGGCAGTGTAAAGTGCTCAATACTAAGTACTCAGCTTAGTAGAGTGGAAATACACATATGTGTTTTCATTTAAACATATTTTGTTTTAATACTATACCTCTCACCATCCATTCTTGTTTCAGTCATCTGCCAATCTCAGTTCTAGACATTCATTACTAGTTCATTGTTTCTTTCTTTCTATCCTTACTCTGTCATAAATCTTGATGATTTCAATATAATAGATAATATCTAATATCTTTTTAAGTACTGAGTAAGAATTATTCAGAAGTCCTGGTGTGGCTCTGTGGGTTAATGTGCCAGACTGCAAAGCCATTTGAACTGCAGGGTTGATGGTTCAAGCTCACCAGCTGCTCCTCAGAAACCCTATACAGGGTTGCTATGGGTCAGAATGGGTTTGACAGCACTTAACAACAACAAGAATGATTCATTGTTTGAAAGGATAATTCTGTAATTTTTCAGATCAATTTTTAAAAAATCTTATCCTCCAATGATTTTGTTAACTAACCCATCTTGAACTCTCTTTTCCATGATCATATTCTAGTTCTCATTGTTACCAAAAACTATGAGTCTACCATAAACTAGATTTTAAAATCCTACTCTCTAACATGTTGCCTTCTACATTTCCATCTCCAACAACTCTGACCTCACTGAGACCTACAGTCCATTGATTTAAAATTTTTTTCCACAATAAAGCAATGCACTTCTTGTTGTTGTTAAGTGCCGTAGAGTCAGTTCCAACCCATTGCTACCCTCTAGAGGGTTTCCAAGGAGCAACTGGTGAGCTTGAACCACCAAGCTTGCAGTTCAAGCCGATTTTGCAGTATAGAGCATACTGACTCATAGTGACCCTTTATAGGATTTCTGAGAAGTAGCTGGTGTGTTTAAACCACTGACCTTGTGGATAGCAGCCAAGTGTTTATCCTAAAGTGCCACACCAAGAGTCCATGCAGCAGGTAGAGTAAGGGATATAAAGTGCACCAAGAAAAGAGGTGCACTCACAAACACACAAACCTCACTGAGGAGATGACTTTTGAGTATAGAATGGAACTACACAGTTAAGCTAGTACTTTCCAGGCGTAGGAAATGGCAATTGCCAAGGACTGCCATGAGATTGTACTTAGTTTGTACTAGGATCTGCAAGATGACTGTTATAGCAAAACCATTAAACAGGATGGTGATTTTTTTCACCCTTGTTTGCTTGTGGAGGTATAGATAACGAGCAGATGAAAATTAGATTTATGAAGAGTTGTGATTTCCCAATTAGTTTAAAAGACTCTCAAGGGACTTGATAGCATATGTAGTTTTTGTTTTGTTTTTATCAAGTTTGGTATTATATCATGCACAATATTTGTTAATCATTACTTTATTCAGTATCCTCTCTAATTATCTTTAAAATCAACATATGTAGATCACCATACAAATTGGCCAAAAACATCTATAAGATATTCTTTGATTCATTCAACAAATACATTATCTGTCTACTTGCTGTCATGCTTTGGGCTTAATGCTAAATACAGAGTATTGAACAAATAGTCACAGGCATCTTCTTCTATTGAATCAAGGCATTATTAGGGAATAGAGATAGCAAATAAAATTAAAAGATAAAAAGTCAGAAATATTGGTATATTAATACTGTTTAGAATCATGAACGTGGATAAAGTTGTCTAAAGTAGAGTGGCGTTATAGCCTAAGTAGAGAAGATATAGAAAACAATTCAAGAGTTCTCTAAATTTTAACATCAAGAAAAGAAGTAAAAGGCAAAGGAAACTGGGGAGAAATCAGGAGCATGTGGTGTCATGGTAGCTCCAGAAGATAGTGATTCAAAAGAAATTGAGATAGAGTGGTATTTCAAGCAGGACCTTGTGACTATAGTTGACTGTTTCTTAGAGGTCATTCAAAATATAGATGTCAAAATATCTACAGATTTGAGTTAACATGTATTAATATTTACCCCAACTTGATAAAGTTCATTAAAGAGAATAAGAATAGAAAGGTTTTGTATCTTGTAGTTAAAATAACTCTTCTTGATGGACATTTAAATTGTTTTCGCAAACAAACAAAAATTTACATGTACATTTTGTCTTTTATCTTGTTTTTTTTTTCCCTTAGATACATTTCTAGAAATCATCATCATCATCATCATCATTATTGACCAAAGAGTATGCATTTAGTATAGTTTAGATAATTTTATTGTTTGGATGATTCTATTCCTCTTTCTTTTGTATTTGAAGATAGCTTTACTTCTTTAGGTTCTAAATTCTCTGCATGAATTAACAAGCATCCTGGATGAAAGAGCATAAAATAATAGATAAATAGATTCTAGACACTCTTAGAAATTAGCTTAAATAAATATGATTTTTTTATTTTCCTAGCAAAATCTAGGTACAACCGACTTTGCATGAATAGTCCTGCATATACATAATTTAGTAGCATTCTGAATTATTTTTACAAAGAGAATAGTAGTTGAAAGTAAGTAAACTTAAATCACATGGACTTTTTAGCTAATGGTGTGTTTAATAGAAAATTTACTTATTAACACATTATATGTTCTTATTAATATGGATAAATAAAACTCCCAAAAAGGTGATTTTATGTTTTGCTGAATTTTGTTTTCATCCTTATTAACATTTACATATTTTCTTTATATATACTTACAAGCCCAAAGATCCATTACTATGAGCTAATGTTACAATGAAACTTGTTATTTCTGTTTTATATATTTTAGAGTATCTAATTTATTGTCAGAACATGGGCCACTGGGATCTGGGGCATACAGATCTGTAGGTGAATGGCTAGAAGCAATCAAAATGGGCCGATATACAGAGATTTTCATGGAAAATGGATACAGTTCAATGGACGCTGTGGCCCAGGTGACATTGGAGTGAGTAATTTTTCTGATAATTTTTACATATTTGTTGGGGCAAGAAACCAATCTGGATGGGGGCAAGGGAGATCAACTAACTTTGTCTATGTTTAACAGCTCTCAAAGAAGCCTCATCTTCTTTTTTTTTTAGCTTGTATTGTTAACAACTGCATGGTTAATGCTACTTGTTGCCAGTATCTTTGCTTATTTGCTTCAAACAAATAGCATTTGAGCATTTGAAAAAATTGGAGTAGTATCTCATTTGCAAAATACTGGTGTAATGTGTTGTGGAAAAGATGTTTTCTTGACAAAGTTTTTATACTGGTACCTATGTTATATGAATGTAAATATAAAAGGAAAAAACTGTAAGCACAATTGGTGTGACTAGTCTTGTATAACAACAAAATGTATTCTGAAATTTTGACTCTATAATGAATATCCAGGTTACAGAATATTAAACAAAGCTCATGAGGGCAGGAATCTCATTTAATCTCTAACTGGTGCACATTATATCCTTGCAATACAAGGATATGTTAGATCTTGCCTCTGATTTGTTTTTAGTGCAATCTCAGTGGAACCAATTGTGCCCTTTTCTGTTTGCACGTTTAAGATAAAACTTATCAATTCTTATCCAAGTAAAATCACTAGAATTAAGTACTAAAATCTTTAAGGTTGCCAGTTGTTTGTATTTTATTATATGCTCTGTTAAGTTCTTTTAGCCTAATACTTAATTGTAAAAAGTAACTGTTTCCATGGTTGTTTCATCTAAGTTCTGTTAATGTTAATAATATTTTAACCTGTGAATTTAATGATAACATACTTCAAATTAAGTAAAAATTCAAGGGTTAAAATACTATTGCAAGAATTAATACATGGCAGAATATTCTAAAGCACTAAACCATGGTCCGTATTGCATTACTTCACATAATATGCACATTGAGAAGTTCTCTGTCATCTTTTCTGTCACAGCATCTTTGATTCAATGAATTCACTATCCACCCGCAAAAAGGGAACAGGGTACCACCATTTATCACCAGTTAATGTCATATTTGCAGCATTCCCCTTCCTTCAAGCCTGTAGCTGAATAGACTTATAATCACCACTCAGCTTGGTCTCTTCATATATAAAATCCCATTCTTACCATCATACCAGATCATTCCTCTAGTCCCACATATGCTTTGACTATTATTTCTTTGAAAATAAAATCTCATTTGTGCTATATTTAAAATAATAAGCTGAAAATTTACTGATAATTTAAAACTATTTTTACATGATTGATATTTAATTTTTTCAGTAAAAATGGTCATTTTAATTTATTAAATTCATTTGTCATTTTATATTAAAATGATACTGTAGGTATTTCTTCTACCCAATGTCAGATCACTTGTAATATTCATAATAAAAAATTTGCATTAAAGTATGTCTCTTTTTTTTAATTAAAATAGCTCATATGCACCTATGGATATTTGCTTCTTTCTTATGAAATTATTTTTACTCACAAATATGGGTTTTGCATTAACTGTGTGTATTTTACCTTATTTCTTTGGGGTCCTAAAATACTATGAATATGTTGTATGTTTTAGCATTCTGATTTCAATTTTTCTTTAATTTTTTTCTCTTTTCTTTGCTTTCTTCTCCTCTTATTTTAAAACTCCCTTCTTTTTTAATGTTTTGTTTCAAGTTCTAGCAACATCTTTTATCTTCTTATTACGATTCTTCACTTTATTTCGATTCTCTAGTAATTATTCTCTGGACAATTTTTATCTGTTTTGTTCTATTTAGCCTTCTTGTCTTTATTACTTTTATTTTTTTGCTTTCTCTTGCTGTATTGCCTATATTATTACATGTTGATTTCTAGCTAGTTTACTCTAACCAGTAGAATTGTGTGAAATTGACAGACTTAGTGACATATTCCTGCTCAGAGAACATGGTACTGTGTTGGTTCCTGATGCCAAGTGCATCAGATGCCTAGGGCCAATAAGCATTAATACATTCCTTACCAGGAATTGGGTCAGCTCCAGCAATGCTGACTTAGTGGACAATCCAGTATCGTTACACTGAAGACTTCTTGTTTATGGTGGCTTTGGCCATATTTTTCAAATCGCTATTAGCACCTTTATCAAAATATTGTTAACTAACTCACAAAGTAGGAAATAATCAGCTGTTTCTTTGGTTAATAACTTTAAAATAGTAATCTTTGCATTCTACTTGTCCTTTCTCAAAAAAGTTAATCACTCTTAGAACTAATAGTAAAGGGAACTGGGATATTAGCAAAAGATATACACGAGCTCTTAACCTATTATTGATTTTTCACACATGATATTTACCTAATATTTAAGTATTGATTTTATGGAGTACATATGATTCTATCAAAATAATAAAAAATATTATTGCCACAGTTAAAAAATTCTTTAGAAAATGGAATAATAGATTAGTAGCTGTAAAAATGCTTATAAAATGTTACAATCAATTAAGGAAAATGATAAAAGTGCCATACAACTACACTAAAAGAATGTATTATAATTTGTAACATCAAATTTGTATTCATAGGTGGTCTTAAAAATGAAGAATAAAGCAATGCAATTTTTCAAAACCACAAAATTTGGTTTAAAATTTCTTTCCTACAATTTGAATTTCATTTATGAATTTTGGCAACACATGCATGTATGACTTAATAGGGAAAGGATGTGAAGAACTTTACAAGTCTTAGTAGGATAAGCTCTTGATTAGTTTGAACCTCAAGGTCTGTGGTTTAAACTCACCAGCCATTCTTTAGAAACCCTATAGAGAGTTGCTATGAGTCAGAACCGATCCTATGACACTTAACAACAACAGAGTCATTTTTAGTGAAAGTGGTTTTTAACCTTTGACATTTCTGTCTGTTCTTCTTTGTTTCTTGTTATTTTATGTCCAGCATTTATATTAAAACAACAGTTGTGGCAGCAATGGCACAATTTATACTACCATGTATAAGTTCATTGAGTTATTATCCACAGGGGGATTTATATTCTTGAGGTGAGTTAAAAATTGAGTCAAAAGACTGGATGAAAACAGGATAACAACTGCTTTTAGTCTTCTTTTCAGATCAGTGCAGTAAACTTTTGATTATTCAGAAAAGTGTGCAAAATCCAATTTCTTTAAACAATCCTATTTATGTAAATATTAGATCATTGTGTTGTAAGCAGAGAAAGATTCTATTGGTATCATTTATTAGAATGGGTCTAAATGACTAAAAATTAAGGTTTTTCCAAATCAAAGCCAAACAATTCCTTAACTTAGCAATAAAGTCATAATGAATAATTAATTTTTGACTACTGTATGCAGAAGGAGTCTTTGTGGTATAGTGGGTTACACATTGTGCTGTTAACCAAAAGGTCAGCACTTTGAAATCCACCAGCCACTCCATGGGAGAAAGATACTTTATGCTACTGTAAATATTTACAGTCTCAGAAACCCTACATAGTGTTGCTTGAGTCGGAGTAGACTTAATGGTGGTGGGTGCTTTTTGGTTTGGAAAGTGCCCAAGAATTACAAACTATCTTCTATTTCTATACAATTAATCTAAATCTCCAGTCCTAGTGCTTATGATTAATCACCAATCAAAACTATCACAAAGTCATGGTTAAGTCTTCTCTTTCTGAATGTAAGCATGATTTATCTGTGGAGTTAATATGTAAATAATTACCAGAATTTTTTAAGTTTATAACAAATGATCAACATTCAACTACGTGATAACAGGAATAAACATTGAAATATATTGAATGTCCATTAATCTCACCTGTGCCTTCTTCTATACAGTCAATGTTGATAGGATTAATTATTAATGATATGCAAAAAGTGTGCAAAGAGAAGGAAGAAAAATGAGAAAGGGAGCAAATCATCCACAAATGTGTAAAATAGTTACTGAATAATCAAGAGCTGGTTTGAATAACAACTAGACACTCTTTTTATTCTACCATTTTAGCATCAAAATATCAGTGTTTTTTCATTGTTTGATATTATGGAATAATACTTTAAACAATGCTACAATGTAATAACATGTAATGGAAATTTATTATGTTTACAACTTTTCTTAAAAAATCATGCAGTCACCAAAATCTGAACTCTAGGTTATGTGGCAGTGCCATTCTCATCCTCTTTAGATTTATGAACCTATTCTGAAATAGAATTTATTATCATTAGAATTGTCCTTAGGTATTATTTATGATTATAGGTGTTCATGATAAAATTAGTAAACTATAAAATGAAAGCCTATAAAATTTTGTCTAGATGTAAAATTCACTACATAGAAAATTAATATGAGTAAAATATCATATTACATTATTTCTAATATTTTATGAAAGCATTTCTCTATTTAAGGCAGACACTTAATCTTTAACTAATAAAATCATTTATTTTTATAAAATTGATTTCACAGTATCACTACAAATTTGGTCACTTAATATATATTTTATATAGTAAAATGAGAATCGCTGAAGATGGCAATAAATATAGACAAAACTACATGAAATAAAAAGTTTTAATATGTTTACCATATTAGAATAAAGGTGACTGATTTTTATCATAAATCTTATAATAATATTATTTTCCTTCTCACTTATAGTACCATTAGAAAACTAAAACTCATGTTTTAAAGAAACTTTCTTTTGAGAATGATACTCATTTGCATAAATGATCTTGTTTCTTATTTTTTTGTATTGAAAAAAAAATCACAATTTATAAAGGTACCTGTATATTATATACACAGAAATAATGCTATTTTGTAAATATTAACACATTAATTTGACAACTTTTGAAATCATAGCTTTGTGTACAATGCCCAGATAAATAAAAAAAACGGGGAGAAGCAGCGACATAGAAAGAGATTCAATTGGTCTAACAATTTATATTTTAGGGAATTATCAGATAATAAATTGATGTTTAATAAAAGTATATGCTTAGTTCACTGGGGGAGAAAATAAGAGGAATTTAACTTAAAACCTAGAGATATGAATTAACCTGAAAAGAGGACTAATTTTACTAGCCCATAAACATGAACTGTATATTGCATTTATTTTAAAATACAATTCCTCAAAACATTCACTCTTTAACATGATAGTGATACCATCAAAAACAAAAATAACAAATTCCCAAAACACTGGGTTAGATTCATTCTTGTGGTTAAGTCAATTTCAGAAAATAAAGCTGCATTGTCTCTAATACAGAGGATATAAAAGGAAGTCAAACAAATAAGTTGTTATCCTTTAAGCAAAACAACTGAGTTGGATAATCAAACCAATCAGAGACAAGCATTTCAAATTAAGACTTTAATACTACATTTGCAGCGTTTGTGTTTGGGAGGAAAAACGTGTTGTTTTCTTCTGGTCATTCAGAATAGTACTTTCAAGGGCTTATTTCTACTAATTTAAATGGTAGAACAATTACACTTGTGAATTTAGGTACAGTACTTAATTGTTTGTGTGTGTACCTCCTAACCTTCTTTTATCACAATCACCTATAAACTTTATAAAACAGATGTTTTAAATTTCATTCTGTTCCTAATTAATTAAATTCTCCATTAGAGACTGCAGCAGCAATGGGCTTAGGCGTTACAATGATTGTGAGGTTGGCTCAGGATCAGGCAGTGTTTTGTTCTGTTGTGCATAGGGTTGCTATGAATTGCTGTTTACTCTATGGCAATAAATAACAACATTAGAGATTGATTGCTGTCAAATTAAGAAACTTTTAATTTTAATTCCTATTTTATTGACCATAGGCCCAAGTGTTCTAGTAAATACCCATGAGTTCCTCCAGCTATACAACTTCTTAATAATTTACATGTAGAAACACAAAGTTTTATTTAGCTCATCAGAAACCACCCTGAAGCTTAGATTGGTTTATTACTGCCTGAAAGAAGTATATTCTTGGTTTGCTTCATTAGATACCATCTTTCTTTTAGTACTGAAAATATTTGAGGTGAGGGCACTTCTGTAGTTCTCATTAAGCATAGTTTGAAGTGCTTTGCTCAATATTGTATCTCTTAGAATATTGAGAAATATGAGATGGGCTTTAGCATCAACAACCTGAATTTTATCCTAGCTCTGCTAACTACTGCTAACTATTTAGCTAAGAGATATAATTATCTAATGTTTCCTTGTCAATGAAAGTACAATAAAACACAAATATATCTCATAAGGTCATATATTGTCCTAGAAAGTGTCTGTAAATGCACCTATTATTTTTATGTTTAGTGCTGTGGTTCACAACCAGGTGGATTTTACAACCTAGATGACATTTGAAAATGCTTGGAGGCATTTGGCTTATTACAAAGAGAGGAGAAACTGGCATCTAACAAGAAGATACCAGTGATGCTACTAAACATCTCACATTGCATAGGGCGGTGCCCCATAACAAAGAATTATCCAGCTCATAATGCAAATACTACTTAGGCTGATAGACTCTGGTTTAGTGGAAAATATAAAAGATTACAATTATCTATTTTTTCTGTTGGTAAAATAATTAGTATTTTATAGTAGTCTACTTCAGAACTGATATGGTGCTGTAGGATAAGTATTGGACTGCAAGGTCAGTGTGAACAGAAAAGTCTTTGGTTCAAATTTACCAGCCAATTCTCAGAAACCCTATACAGTGTCCCTGTGAGTCAAAACTGACTCAACCAACAGCACTTAACAACAGTCATTTCATAACTAATTATATATTACTTTTGTTTCAGTATTTTTACTTGTTTTAAGGTTTTGTTGATAAGTTTTCATCCCTACCATTATTAGTACCTATATGGTTTACTTGTGTGATGCTGTAGGATAAAGGTCAGTTTGAACCACAAAAGGTCGGCAGTTCAAATCCTCGACTTCTCTTTGGAAACCCTATACAGGGTCACTAAGAGTCGGAACCAACTTGATGCTTAACAATAGCAGTATATTATGAGTATAATACTAAGAAGTTTTGTATTAATACTGACATTAAAAATATGTTTCCTCCATAAGCATCAATTGCTTCTTTTTAGCTACTTGTCATTTCCTGAAAATCTCATAAGAAATCGAAGAAGTGTAAAAGAGAAGTCAAAATCCAAGATACTAATTGAGTAAATTCTTTTCAAGGCCAATATACAGAGAACCTAGATACCACTTTATTTGATTTCTGTTCTCTGATAATTAAAATATCTCTTTGAGTTATCCAAAACTATTAAATTTTACCTATGATGATTCCAATGTCAATGCATCCAGTTTGATAAAATGCTAAAACATCCTGAAATCAGAACAAGTATTGGAGACAAAAATAATCCACTTTTAGAATAATGTGCTTAACAAACTGATTAGATAAAACAATATGGCAAAGATCTTTGATATTTAATTTATTTTTTATTTTTAATGATCACTCATGCCTGTATTTAATGCTAATCATTTGTCAAGCAGGCAAGAATTTCAAATACTTAAATTCTAGAATGTCTTGAGAAATAACACTTAGAAACCATGGACTCTGGCTTTGAATTTAATAAAATCCTAAATTAGCGTAGAAATTTAAACATCTCTAATTTTCTTTTGAATAATAAACTGTTTTAAAGAAAAGTATGTAAATGTTTTAATTGAAAGGCCCTTTGATATTGTGTAATTTTCTCAATGCTCTAGAGGCCAACAAAACGTAGGTGTCATTTGGTAAGAAAGAAAGCTCTGCTACTTTGGGTTCCAAGGAAAAAAAGTATTTGAAAGTGTTTGCAAAGCAATGTAGTCATTATCTTCAAAATACATGTTATTTAAAAAAAAAAATGTTTGTATTGAATGAGTCATTTGAAAAGTTTGGTCTTCAACTACTTAGCTGTAAAAATTTAAAAACATATGTTATGCTTACTTCTTTTAGCAAAATACAAAAAGTGCTTGAACATATTATTGGTCCACATTTATAAAATTATGCAATGAAATTGTGTCCTTTAAATTAAATGTTTATAGGTAAGCATGTGCAAATTGTTTATTATTACTATGTGCCACATATAAAAGTGATATTCAATAAAAGAGCAAATCTATATTTAATAATTTCCCATTATAAATATATACAGGAGTTCACAAAGTTTTATTGACTGTGAACAGATTTTTGAGGTACAATTTTGGAACAGGCCTTTAAACTTTGCCTAATTGAGATGATAATTCACTTTTCTTTCAAAATGTTTGCCCTTTGTCAGTGTGAAATATTGAGCTATGATACCAACTCAATCAATACATACATCCAATGTGTGCTTTCTTCATGCAGGGATTTGAGGCGACTTGGAGTGACTCTTGTCGGTCACCAGAAGAAGATCATGAACAGCCTTCAAGAAATGAAGGCACAGCTGGTAAATGGAATGGTGCCATTGTAACTTCATTTTAATGTCACTTCTTCAAATAAAGGAGCCCTGGTGGTGCATTGGTTAAGCACTCTGCTGTTAACTGAGAGTTCGGCAGTTCAAACCACCAGCTGCTCCTCAGGAAAAAGATGTGACAGTTTGCTTCTGTAAAGATTTCAGCCTCGGAAACCCTATGGAGCAGTTCTATTCTGTCCTATAGGGTCTCTATGAGTCAGATTGAATCATCAGGAATGGATTTGGTTTGGGCTGATCTTCAAGTGAGTGGTTCTGCACTTTGTGAACAAGCCCTGAGATTTATTTTAACAATAAAAGGAGGGAAAGGGAAAACTCGGTGATTTCTAAACTTTAGGAGAGCATTTGTTTCAGCCACAGAATTTGTAAACAGTGTTTTACTAAAATATCTCCATCTTTCTCTCAGTGTATTGATTTTTTTTTCACAAAACAAATATAACCTGCATGGAAAAGTAACATGAGACTAAACATTATGTTAAAACAACAACAAAAAGTCCTCCTGATAATGCAAGAAAATTTTGTACATGAAATATATAACTATAGCACCTTTACAGACTGAATTAAGGCAGCACCTTTCAAAACTTCTAAGGATCTACTTGAAAGGAAACATTTTCTAGCCTTGTTTGGCCTAACAGAAGCTGCAGTTTACTGAAGTTTACTTCCAAGTCTTAAATGTCTACTTAAATGTATTGAAGAGCAATATGGGTAGATTATTTCTTAATAGATACATTCTTTTGTAATTTTAAAATGCTGTTACACAGCGCTAAGTTATAGAAACTAATGTATAACCATGTTGCTTGGTCAAGAACAAGTACAATACAGGGTGTGTATTTATTTTTATGTGTTATAAACTTACTTTTAGTTTGCTCTTCTAGAAACAGTATGGTATAAATGTGTATATACTGTATAATTTACAACATAACAGAAACCAATCTAGGATGAAATTGTGTGTGTGTGCTTGCACTTATGTGCATTATCTTTAAGCTTGTATTTTTAGTAGTGTTTTAATTTTAGCAACATACAAGAAGTAGTGTTTCAGAGTGTACTATGAATAGGACAAATAGGGAAGTAGTAAAGCAAAATTTAACACAAGCTTGTGTCTTCTTTTCTCTCATGTGTCCAAAAACTACTAAGTCTCTTTATTCTCTAACAGGAAATGTCTGTAAGATTAAATCCCCTTTGGCTTTTTAAAAACACTTTGTGATATCTGTGACAATGTAATTCTTCTAGCCATTAATCTTGCACCCCTGTAAGAAATTTCACCTTTCTGAATTCCAGAAAATATCTTGTCAAGCAAAGTTGACACCAAAGGGCACATTTTCAGCAAGATGAAGGATTTAACTTTACAGACTCCTATTAATGTTGTCAAATCCAGGCATACAACACCAAGCATTACCCCTAAGTGTTAATCCTTTGCAACCATTTACACTGTGGTTCATCTCTAGAAATTTTGATACTAAGACAGCAGTGAGATGATGACAAATCATACTTTATTTTTTTGTTTTTTCTTCAGCATTTTCTCTATTTCACTACTTGATAAATTGTATTTGTTGATGATTGTTTACTTATTTTATAATTTCATCTTCTGTTTAGTTAGTTACATGGCATTAAATTTATTCCTATGAACTCATTCACAGTATTATACTTCATCTGACAAAGACTAATAATTCAGGTTTAGATTATAAAGTATATTAGAAATTATACAAAAACTGGACCCCTTAATGACATAATCACAATTTATATGATGTTTTATTTCATAAAAAATCATGCAATGAAATATGATTGTTCAATCTATATATGTCAGGAGCACAGTATTTAAATAGGATACAGCCAACTCATGATTATTAAAGGCAATAGTATATTGGAGTGCCTAGATTAGGGAAATTCATGAAAGGTATAACTGCATTATATCATAGTACTCTGTTTCTTCTTTGAGCACATGTTTACTTGAAGGTATAGCACCTACATGAATAAAATCTTAGGAAATAGCCTCTTCCTTCCTGTTTTCCCATTATTTAAGCATTAAAGTAACTCTCCTAAATCAACAGGAAAAAATTAGATAAAAAGTCTAAAAAAATGTTTTGAATAATTTATGTAGTTCTCCCAAACTCCTGGTGTGGTGCTGGAGGATGAGTACGGGACTACAAACCACAGGTTGGTGGTTTATACCCACCAGCTGCTCCTTGGAAAGCCTATGCAGGGACCTTCTGAGTTAGAACCAACTCAATGGCACTTAGCAACAACCAAAACAAGAAACCCTGAACCACATGTTCGGTTTGAACTGAAAAAGCAAAAGTTCAAGCTCACCAGCTGCCTCTGGGAAACCTTATACAGGGTCTCCATGAGTCAGAATTAACATTACTTTATAGCACTAAACAACAACAGGACTATGAGAGCATGGGACATCCATACAATCTCCACTGGACTACAAACCTTAAGGTCTGCGGGTTGAGACGCCAATGGCTCTGGGAGAAAGATGAGGTTTTCTGTTTCCACGAAAATTTAAAGCTTCTGAAACCCTAGACAGGGTCGTGTTGAGTCGGAAACGACTCAGCGACACTCAACAACCACAAATAGGACTATACTGTACATTTATTCATGTACACTATGCTTCAAGTATACTTCCAGTCTAGTAAAATTTCCAGATAAAGTTGATGGAGGTGTATTTAATATTGTCATGATAATTTCTTAGTAAGCAGGCATCACCATTACTGAAGGTGCATTTTATTTTTCATTTCAATAAGCTGAAATAATTAAATTGATTTAAAAACAAATAATTAGAGATAGTACTGAGGTGTTGTTGTTGTTATGTGCCGTGGAGTCAGTTCCGACTCATAGCGACCCTGCACAGGGTTTCCGAGGCTGTTAATCTTTACCAGAGCAGAACGCCTCATCTTTCTCCCACGAAGCAGCTGGTAGTTTCGAACTGCTGACCTTGCGGTTCGCAGCCCGATTCGTAACCACTACGCTACCAGAGCTCCATAATACTGAGGCACTTTATTAAATTTTTTAAATAACTGAAACTAAAAATATAGAAGTACCAATTGATAAACTTCAAATAAGATAATTAAATTTAAGAGGAAAAAACTACCACAATTGTGGGGACTAACCACAATTAATTATATATAACAAAGATATTTTTACTATTATTTTCTGACTTTATATGATTGGAAGGCCAGGGTGGAATGTACTATTTCAAAAGTAATTACAATTATAAGGTAGAATACAGAGTCCCTACTTTTCCATAAAAGAAACCTATACATTAATATTTATATCAAATGTATTTCCTTCTTTTACTGATTTTTTGGGGGACATGAATGACATGAAAAATATCCATATAGCTTTCATGTATATATCAATTTGTTTCATGCTTTCTAAGGAGTGTAATGAACAGATTAGATGGAATAAAAAGACTTTCAGCTAAAATACACAGAAAATAGAGGAATAATGCATTTCTAAAATATTCGTTCACCACTGGATATGTCACCAATTGGAAAGTGCCAGTTTTATCTACAAATGTGAGAAATGGAATAAGAATAAGAGGCTACTGTCATGAAATTCAATGAGTTATTAATCCAGAACCATGTTTGACAAATGTTGATTGTTTGATTTCTTATCCTATTGTTTCATTTTACCTTTCACCAGACTACTAAAAATAAAGTTGTGCATAACACATAAAATATATTGTCAAATAATATAAGACATTATTATAGCTGTCAATATCAATATCCTTAGGATATGTACCTTTCTCAGTTATGGACTTAGGAAAATAGACACAAGCAAGAAGCAGTTTTCAATATATGAATACATAGTGAAATCACTTAATTACTACTTTTGTAAACAATAATTTGGTTCAAAATCTCACCATTTCCTTTCATGTACTACCACATATAATCAATTTCATTTTTGGACAATGAAATAATTATTTGTAAAATTGAAGATATTTTGATTTTTTCATTTTTAAAATTTGTAATGTGTGTGATTATATATCCTTGTATTTGACCTTCAAATAAGTGTTCTAAATGTGTAGGATTTTTGTAAAATTGATACTGCAATATACTATGTAAACGTAAATGTGGCCAGCATTAATAGTTTTAGAGTTGACTAAATAGCAAGAAACATTTTATTTCAGTTTCTATAAGAACTTTGATGATACAGTGGTTAAAGCGACCTACTGCTCACCAGGAGAAAGTAATGACTGTTTGCTTTAATTAAGATTTCAGCTTTAGAAACCCTATGAACAGTTCTACTCTGTCCTGCAGCATCACATGAGTCCAAAATGACTAGAGGGCACCTAATGACAACAACATAGGGTTATTATGAGTTTGAATCAACTTGATGGCAACTATTTTTGAGTTTTGTTTTGCTTTTGTGTTTTATAGGAGCTTTAACCAGTACAAAGTAAAGAAGAGACAGTTTCACTTCTCAGGATTAAAATGAAAACAATGTCAATTGAATGCTGATGTACTTACATTTCTGTTATTTAACTTCCACTTGGAAGTAAAGATTTCTTTAATACCATTCTTTCTCCCATTTAAAGTGGGTTTTTGGAAGCACAAGCAGAGATTATTTTACCTTTGGAACACATGTTTGACTGTAGTGGTGCATTGGATGATAAATGCTAGCTGAGTTAGGTGTTAGACATTTACTAGATGTATGATGTTGCATAGTAGAATAAAGTCCTTTTCCTCATTTTGCTCTTTCTAAATATAAAACAAAAGGAAGCTAAGTATGATAGTAAACTCATTTTATGTCCTTCCAAATGTTTAAACTCAAAGTAAATTAAAAGTAGGTAAAATAAGATGATGAGGACAAGGATGAAAATGAATTAACCAAATAAAATAAAAAAGAATAATAAGAATAAGTTGAATTTTTAAAATGGTAGCACAGCTGGTTGCATTGAATAATTTTCTCCATTATGGTGTTAATTATAGAGTAATGTATCAAATGGGTAATAGATAAGAAATTTCCATTTTTCATTTATTTAATAAAGAAAAATC